AGCTTGCAAGCTTTATGGTGAGGTATGAAATGGGCGAGTATATTTAAAACACTTGTAGCTAGGTAATTGGGCAAACACAACAACTGAATGTGAATATGAAGCGAACACATAAAGCAGAAGGATCTCCAGAAGGGGCCGATCAGACCGACATATACCGTTCGATAACAAGGGTGGCTGCGTTATCCCAAGGATGTGTGTTGCTAAAGCTACAGTGCAGGACTTTTACATATAAATAAACATCCGTTACATTCAAACCCTTGCCAAACGAGTTCACACAATGCTGATTAAGCTGATCCCCGCCAGGTAAATCTTTCTGTATTTCGCTGTATACCAAACTTTTTAAATATGGTATCTGTGGCGACATTCCAACTGCAAATACGAGAGCCCTCCCCTTCTTTTGGACCACCATGGGACCTTACTTCAGGAAAAAATAATGTTAGTCAATGGCAGAAGACAACAAATTATTTGATCCCGTTTGAATTGTGCCCTGAATTACACATATGATGATGGTCAATCTAAAATATATATTTCAAAGTCAAGAAAGTGTTGTAAAACTGTTGCAGTATAAGACTGTAATAATGAATAATTACAAAGACCATAAACCCAGAAGTGTATGTGAAGTTGTAACTTTTTCTCTCAATGCTTAAATCAAGCTAAAATCAAAGAACTTACATGAGAAGATGATGTGATAAAAAGACCAAGAGTGGCTGGATTAAACACATCCGATGAGATGATGGGCGGTTTGTTCATTAGGGCGATGCACCACCAAACTGGGAAAGGCAGGGGAATTTTTCTCACCCTTTCTACCACACTGACTTTTTTTGACAGACAGTTTGCCTCTGAATATCGTTGTCCAATCAGCGTCAAGTCGTGTTCCGTTGAGTCCTGCCCATTTCGGGGGATTTCAGTCTAGTTGAAAATCGCCCAGATCTCTGTCATAGACTTTCATGTTAAGGCAGTTTTTTTTCGAACTGCGGGCGCTGCAATGCAATCTATATGGTTTCTGGGAGGGCTTGCACTTCCGTGTTTACGTCATGCTCTCAGCAGCAGAGCTACGGTTCTGCCACCCGAAAACAACTCAGTGGTCTACCAGTGTGTTGCTCGTGCTACTATCAACTGCTGTTTCAACACAACGTACGTTCAGGAAATAATACATACAATTTGTTAAGCTATGAGGAGAGGAAAAGTCCACTAGCTGCTAGGCTAATTTATGTAGTCCAATGCCATTGAAGCCAATAGCTGTGAATAGAAAAAAAAACAAAAAAAAAACAAATCTTGATAGCTGTTATAAAGCCGGATTTTATGTTAATGTTAAATGTGATTGTTATTAAGCCATTTTCATGGGTGGAAGTGGAGTCAATTTAAAATTTTAATTAAAAACCTTAATTAATTTAAAAACCTTTACAGCACTTACCAGTAACAATTATTTTATGTTGTTTTTTTCTTTTATGCCATAAACCACAGAAGAAAGAAGAGGATGATGTGGCCATCACTTGCATCTTTGTCAGAGGAGGATAAAAAGAAGTAGAAGAAGAGAGCAACACAGAAAATAAACCAAAAACAATAGAATTAATTACTTTTATATTTCCCCACATGCCTTCTTGTTTACCAGCCTGTTCTCATGCTCAGGCGTCACATATACACGCTTTGGAAAAAACGTGGCTATTGTACGCAAAACAGCGTGTGTATGATACGCCCCCAGGTTCGTATATATCAGATCGCATCCAGGCAGCGTAAATACAGAGTAAAAATGGGAGAACAGCACATAGCTCACTCTTAATATGTGACTAAAAAGCATGGGATAACAGTGGATACTTCTAATACAGCCCACATCCCTAATATTACTGTGTAACTAGAGGATAACAAGTGGAGAACATTCAAGATGTTTTTACAACTATCTGCAGACCTTATTAGTCTTGTGTAATGAGTGTAAGAATGAAAACAAATTCTAGGCTCCTCTGTACCACATTAAACATTTAAGATTAGCTATGTTTGATACACCTTAATATACAGTATATGTGACATTATTACATTACTGTATTACTTGAGACAGGTAAGCTTGTTTTCTACTCCAGCCTGTCCCTCAGCTGCAGTGCAGAATGAACTGTAAATAGTTTTATTCATTGCACATTATCAGCCCCGTTGCCACTGCACTTTATTCTGGATTTGCTGTACCTAAATAAAATGTACGTAACAGAATCAGATGATTGTGAGAGTAAACTTTTTTTCATTAATGCTAAAGTAGTTGCCTTTACATCCAAAGGTCTTTGAGGGTGAACTGATAAATGGATTCAATGTTCATTCATTGTAGACTTCGACAATGAACTTGAGGATGTAACTGCCGGTAATCCAACCTTGTTTGTGACATAATATTTTATTGATAATTCTAGTGTTTTTTATTTACATGGCCTCTGTGGGACAGTCCTGTCCATGCTTGTTTGTTTAGAGGGTGATATTACAGTGCTGGCGATCCTTTTGTGCATGATCCCTGGGAATAGCAAAACATCATGGAAATAACTGCTTCTTTCAGGAGATGCTGGCAAAACACATGCAGATTAAAAAGAATTTTGTGGATTAGCTGTTTGACTGTGCATGAAGAGTCTAGTGCTTCATGTTACTGCTGTGTCACTATTGAAAACCCACAGCGGAAGTATTTGAGCTTTTGTTTGACTCAGCTATATTAAACTTTCAGGACTTGCTGTTCTGAGCACTAAAACATGTTGTTCTCCCAGTGCTGTCAGGAACACGCAACAGCGTGTGCTGTCTTCATTGTAAATATCAAGCAAAAGGCAGCGCTGACAAGAAGTTCCTCGTGGACACGGTCTCGTCAAGTTGAAATTTGTTATCTATTCCTCCAACTCATGTCTGTCCACTCTTCACTTTGTCTCCGAGTATTATTTGTCAGCAGGGTCTCTTCTCAGGTCACCAGTGACAGACCAGTACCACAACTTAATTACCCACAAACCTCTGGGAAAAACAACCAGAAGGCACTCTAATCACTGCCTCCACTGCCAGAGGTAATGTGAAAACCCCCTCCTTGCTGTTACTCTGTCACCATGCATTTGATCCTTGGGGCTGGCGTCTCTATTTTCTTCCTCCTCTGACCTCTCTCTCTCATCCCTCACACTCCCTTGAGAAAGTTCCAGTTGGTGGCCTTTCTCCAGGGCGAGTGATGGCAGCTCCATGGACAGACTCATCCACACTTAATTACCCACAAGCTCCTTGGAGGGCAAATGTAGAGAGACTGAGGCATGCGCACTGGATCATCCATCCCCTTATGTTCCTTCATTCCAGCCTGTCCACTGTGACTATTTTCACCATGTTACATAACAAAAGCATTTCTGGGAAAGTCCACTTTGGAAGGGGATCGTTATTAGCATAAATATTGCTCAAAGTTTATAAATTTTTAATGAAATAATCACTTTGAGTTGACATTTCCGCCTTTGGTTATTCCAATGCAACATAACTTCAAACCCACAGAGCTGTTCCTCTTACATTTTCAGACAGACCAACAGGGCCTCCGATTGGTCACAGTTAAGCTTCAATGCTTCTGGGTAACAGAGTCTGTCATGCTCAACACCCAGAGTGATATCATGAAAACATGGGATTGCAAGTACACTGCAAATTAAGAAAGAGCCGAGTTGTTCGTCCACAGATGCCCTTGAAGCAACGCGTATACACACGAGACACTGACATCAATTTGAAAATTTATTTTCATATAAAAAGACACTATGAAAACATTAGAGGACTACTTTGTACAATTGTATGTATAAAAATAACAAAAATGAGGGAGAAAAGGAAAGGAAAGGGAGAGTTTTCATAGTAATAAATCAACTGGAGTGTTGGATGGTTGTAGCAGTCGGTTAACACCTAAGCAACGAAAGCGTGAGAAAGCAAGAGTGAAGGTGAGCATAGTAGGTTCTGACGTTGATGTCCGCTTGGGGCAAAGTTGCAAATTGGCCCCGTGTTTCATATTTATTTATGGGCTGTTGAGTTTGGCAGGCTTTCAACACACAAAGAAAATAGACAAGATACTAACACACTCTGACCACGATCTCCATGTGTTAGCGTACACATCATACCAGGGTTTATCATTGTGAAGAAAACTGTGAAATTGCAAGATGACCCTTATTTGTGGTTGCACATTCAAATGATCAGTCAAACACCTCAATCTTAATCAGTCAAGCAGCATCTCACTTACCGTTCTTGGAGCTGAAAACCTTAAAGTTCCAATGTTCATTGAGGGGAAACCTGACATAATGTTCATGTGCTGTGAGAAAAACGTGGAGAAGCTCACTAACGGAAGAGGAAAGTAAGAAAAGCCCATACTTTCCTCTTTTCCTTTTTCTTCTTAATCTTTCATAAAATCCCATTTATAACATACCATGGGAACACAGTTTGTAGAGAATTCATCTAGAACTTAGATCTGGATCCTGAGCCTCACAGAAGGTCAGGTGAATGTGACCTTAGCTCAGCATCCTGGGGGCCGAACCTACCTCGGTCCTCCGAGAGGGAGCGGGCTGTAGGTTTGCCTATCAGCTGATTAGCTTAAAAGGTTAGAAGGGCCGCACTCTTGTCTCACCATCTGCGCTGTGCTGCACTACCACCACATTAGGGATCTTTAAACAGATGGTTTGAGGGCTGCATTGGAAAATGTCAGGACAAATCGCCATCCCCGGATAATTACTGTTATGAGCACTCCCCCCTTCTTAATCTGCATCTCTGCCTGCCTCGCGCTTTCTCACTATATATATTTGGATCTTTTTCCTTGGCTACCTCTTTCTCTGGCACTTTTTCTCCCTAAATTCTCCAGACTGTAAAATTAATGGGACCTGCTTTTTAACATAGACTGAAAAGTTATTGAGCCTACTGAATTCATTCGACACTTTCTCTCTGCCGGTGTGTGGAGGACCGATGTGCTTATGTAGCAATGGCAGGAAACCGGTTGTCCTCTTGTAGCTACTGATGTGCGGATGTAGAATATTAAACAGGAAGACTTCTCCACTGGCTTTTTTTTTTTTTGCCCTCTTTAGTCTGCCACCTTGTAGCCTTATAACCTCTGTGACTCCCCCTTCTGTCTTTGTATTTCACTCTCATTCTCTGCAGCTGCTGTGCTCAAGCGCAGGGATACAATCACACTGACAGGTCTCCATGTGAATGAGGAATTATACATCTGGCTTCACTGCAAACATTAAGATTTCATGCCTCCCTGTTGCACGGCGCTGGGTGGGCAGAATGAGCAACAGAGAAGGGGAAACGGGAAGTAGGTGGTAGAGGAAAGCAAAGGAAGGCGTGTTTCTCTTTAAATCTGATTGGATTCTTGTGACAGAATGAACAAAATGTGGCTCGTGTGGTGTCACATGTTAAAAATTCCTCAGGTTACGTGAAGCTAACAATATTTCCTCAATAACTAGGGAAGACTGCGGTAGCCGCTAAACCGATCGATGTTTCACTCTAAGCAGCCTAAGCATACGTTTCTGTACCGTTTTTCTGGCATTACAGTGATTGGTGATGGCTGAAATGGATTCAGATGTTGCACGGTTTAAAGGCTTTTATCTCCAAGCAGTAGGTGGGGAAAAAACAGCGGGAATCTGTATGACGTTCACTATCCTTCTTTTCCCTCATGGGTGGATAACACGCACTTACCTCAGAAAGCAAGCTCACGTTTATGTGCTGTGTGTGTCCTAAATCCTTGTTTTTTTTTTTTAAGAGTTCCACATGGGTTCATTCTCGCAGGAAATGAAAAAAAGAAAAAAAACAAGAAAAAAGCCAGCACAAGCACAAACCTGTCTGAAAATAAATCAATTCTTCTTGAACAGTTAGACCATAGAACACAACTCAGTTATTTGTTTCAATCGTATTATTTTTTCATTAAAAGTTTCAAAGCATAGGGGAGGACATTTTTGTAACTAAAGCATAGAAAATACACAAAACGGGGGAATACAATGTTGACACAGAGGATGTGAGAGGAATGGATGGATGGGATTGTTGAACTGGAACCTGAAAAAAAGCAGGGTGGATGGCACATATCAATGAGCAGCTCTTTGCCCATTCCCCTGTGCCCTATCCATCCAAAATGACAAAAAGAAACAAATGAAAATAAAAAAAGGAAAGACTTGAGAGATAGAATGCTTTCGTCATCCATTAGAAGGGAAGAGGAAATAAATGAAAGCAGGGTGCCTAGGGGGGCTACCAGTGTGAGAAACCTCAGTGAGATTTTTTCCCCCTTGCTATAAAAAGAACTGAACGGTGCAGAAATATTCTTCTTTTTCTTTTTTCCCCCCCAAATCATCAAACAATTGAAAGAGATTTTCTTTTTTCTCCAGAATAAAATCAAGACATTTTTCTCAGAAATAAGTTTTTCATAGTTTTTTTTTTAAAGTTCATTTAAAAATCTCCGTCAGTCACAGACGTGTCAAGCCCCTGTTCTTTCTTTTCATTAGTCTTTGCGAAAATATAGAGTAGAACAGTCTTCTTTCCATGTCTGTCCACTGCAGCAGTAAACAAATACAGTATGGGATCCAGCAGAGCACATTGCAGGAGACGGGGGAGCGGTGTGTGTGAGATCTTTGCGAAAAATCATTTACGTTATGTATAGCTTTTCAGAAGTTCAGTATCTCTGTGTGCATCTGTATTTCGGCATGAGTTTGAGTGTGTCCAAGTGAGTGCATGTACGTCTGTGCGTCTTCACACTTCAGTCTGGAAGTCTCCCTCGGAGGAGTCAGGCGTGTTGGCGGAGGACGAGTCCCAGTTTTTATTGTGCAGCTCCATCCGGTCCTTCTGCTCCCCAGGCACGATGGACAGCTCGGGGGTCATGGTCTTGAAGCTGTCCCAGGAGCTCTGGTCCTCTGGGGTTGACTTGTCCTGATGGAGAAAGAGGACAAGGAAAAGGGCCACGTAAGGAAAAATAAGCTGCAAATGAAGGCGCCATGTGGACGTAAAAAAAAAATAGATACAAAATCTAAGTTAAAGGGAATTCACACAATCAGGGTCTTATTCTGATGGGTTTGGACACCATTTTTATCTGTACTTATAACAGTGGTGACATCGCAAAAGTGTTGTCTGACAGGGCAAGAAACACAAGCAGTTAACTTAGTCAAATCTATTTGGTAAGTCTAAGGGCCATACTAGTTTTAGAATTTTAAAAGAGTACTCCACTGACTGAACTTTTTTGTTCTACACATTCTTTTGAACTTGTTCAAACCTGGTGCCTACATTACCCACAATGCAACTTGACCACTGACAGTTCAGTCAGACATTTGTGTGTGTTATGCTAGTGGTGACTAATGTAGCCTCGAGCCTTTAGCCTCAACCAGAGATAAGGAATAAGGCTACAGAGGTTGGGTATATTCTCCTCACCTCCAGATTTGTTTATTTTATTAGTAGTCTTCCGCCCCAGCTGACACTGATTTAAGTGACATCACAGGCACTTTACCAGATTTTGCACAGCTCCCTCCGGAGCCACAAAATGCTTTACAAATACAGTACTACTCAAGACCTGTAAACAGAGTTTAGTGTGTAAAATTGTTGTTCCCTTTAAATAGTTCCAACTGGTATTATGATTACATAGTGCATCTTCTTAAATAAAACAGCTTTCAGTCACATTATAAACAAAAACCTTTGGCAACCTGGGAGCCGGAGAACTGAGGGGCCCACAGTTCATGCTTGCCCTGCGGTGGGTTAATATGTCCCTGACCTACTTTACTTACCATAGCTGTGCACAGTTTTCCTGTGCAGTGATGGATTATTACAGACATTTTGGGTGCACTCACATTCGGTTTATCTCCAAATAAAGTGGATTACATAGTCTCACCAAACTGTTTGCTTGTTTCCAAAATGTCTGATCATCTGAATGCACAAGTTTCTTGCCAAGTCAAGACAAAATTTCAGCAATTAAATTTGGTGAATACAGTGTTGTCATAACAATAGACATTATGACCAACACTATGAAACAAGGCCCAAGTGGTAACAAACTGGAATTGTCCTTTAAATAAAGTAACCCGAAATCACTGCCATGGCGAGTGGCACAGATTTGGAGATGGATACATTTAAATATGCGCTAAAGCTAAAGTTGATCTTTTGTCTCTAACCAAATATCAACATAGAGATGCCACTCAATGCCATTTATTAGAAGTTATTTAACTTGACAAATACTAGAAAGTAGGACCACACATACCTGTAGTTCAAGGCACCTTTTCATCTTTCTATCATAAAAAACAACAATTCTTTTATGTACAGAAAAAAATATATACCTGTCTTCCTTTATCTCCCATCTGTCCCAATCAGTAACTTTTTTTAAGGTCGACTGATAAAAGCAGGGCACCTTCTAGGCGTGGGTCTAGAAGGTGGTCGCCGCGTTCGGCAGATGTGCCCACCACGCATGTAAAATGCATGTTGGGGGATTAGCTCTAAACGGAATTAGAGGTAGCATTATGCATCAGATAAGGGCCATTATTCAAATCGGACTCATTATGCGGCAGAGATAATGATTTCACAGAGACGAACTGGGAAAGACATGAGGGATCGCTAGCCCTGATGACTCGTGGTGGAGCAAAAGATACAAAAATAAATAGATAAATAACAAAACCAGGACAGACTACTTGTGGCGCTTTTTGCAGACATGTTGTACCCTGCTGCAGCAGATATTCAAACAGCATATAGCAAGATGAGTGCTCTGAAAAGTGTATCTGCGAGTAAATTCAGGGACAATACCAAACGTGTGAGATATTTACACCTATGTGCCTGTTTGTACATATGTAAGCCATCAGAGAGAGCAGTACTGTATCTGCTCTTCAACTCTGTCTCCCAGCAGCTCAGCTCTCTCCTTCAGCTTCTTTCATTTAGTTTTCTCTGTCTTCGTTTGCCACAATCCCACTTTCCCTTCATTGAAGCAACTCTATGTCTATCTCTTGATCAGAGAAACACACACGCACGCATGCACGCACACAGACACAAACTCATTGATCTGCAGTGGCACAGCACTCCCTTCCCCCCTTGCAGTGTGATGATGGTAGCCGGAGCGCTAGGGGGCAATATCTGCCTGATTATCATTCTCCCTGCGTCACAGCCTGACAGTTGGTAAAATGAATACAAAAGGCATAATCTGGGAGCCAATTTGCATGCTAAATGCTGGCGAAGGAACATTTTGTAATGCAGGAGTGTGGGTAATGCTGCAGTTAAGCCCAACTTTATCCCTGGGAGACTAGGCTAACGCGATTGTGCTGCTACTGCGTGTCTATCCATTCCCTTTCGCCATCTCTGCCTGCCTCCATTCCCTCTTTGCCCCAAAGCACCATCTCATCCCTCTCTTTCTCCCTCTCTCCCTCTCTGCCAGAAACCCCTCTACTTACACTCAACGAGTTCTTTTCACCTCCGGCAGACGAAATGCTCCATCGCTTTCCCCTCTGTGGTGATGAAATGGGAGGCAGAAGACAAGGAAGGGGTGACGAGAGAAAGAGAGAGAGAGAGAGAGAGAGAGAGAGAGAAGAAAAGAAAGAGAGAGAAGAAAGGGGAGGGAGAGAAGGGTGGGGGATCACAGTCACTGACAACTCTGCCCTGAAACAATAGCAATGTTTCCACACCTTCAGCAGGTGAACAGGCAGTTGTTGCTTTGTGCTTACACCTTACCCTTTCTCTCTCTCTCTCTTTCTCCATCTCTCAACCCACCAGCGCTCTCATGAGAAAATAGAACACGTGTAAACACTCACCATGCACACATGAACAGAAACAGTGCAAACAATGGTCGAATACGCACTGTCAGCATGGGTATACACACATAATTGAACTGCGCCGGAACAGGCAGTGTTTTTAACATCCTGACCTGTCCGAGCTTAGAGGAAAACTGATGAAGCAAGGACGGAGTGGCTGAAGGTTTCTACATGCTACGTACCACTAATAGCAACTACAACTACTATAAAAGGGATAAAAGAAGTGACGGCATGTGGGGGCGTAAAGTCATCTGGCTTTAAAGGCAGCAGCAGTGAATCTGCTGTGTAGTGCTAGAGGCTTTTGAAGCTCATGTATTCTAAATAATGTTGAAAGAGGATAACTAATCTGGTTATTGCTATCTACACTATCTGCATTATTGATTTGATACTGTATGTGTGAACACAACACATAAAATAGCTAAAGCTGGGCTATAAAGTGGACATTGCTGACTCTGTATGTTCTGCCTCTGGCTTAGACACATAAACCTTACTTCCCCTGCTGTAACTCTGCAGTGTTATCTACCTTTTTTTTTTAAATGTTCCTGTCTTTCTTTTTAAAGCAAGGTGTCTCAAATGATTTGTTCGTTCTAAATCCCAGTCTGTGCCCAAGTCTTGGCCCGAAATTGATTCTCTACAGTGGCTGTAACGACTTGGCTAATAACAACTGGGGCTAGAAGGATTTCAGGTTATTGTCCAAAAAGGTTTCCGCCACACACAATTGTCAAGATTACGTCCTTCCTTAATTTTTCTTTCTGTGAAAAGCAGCAGACAAAATAACACAACATTCTTTCTAGGAGAGCTGTTTGTGTAAGTGGGAGTGTGTGTGTGTGTGTAGCAAAAGACTACTGCTGTTGGTATGTAAGATTTTAGATTTACCCCTTCTGAGATTAAAAACATTTCTGGGGCTCACCACATTGCCTCAGGGTGTCTTGATTTACTGCCACAATGTGATGTGCTGCATTAGCTAGCTTAGCCTACATGTTGGAATTTTTTAATAGATACTATTTAATTTTTTTATAGAAACTTTAAATTAGCCTATTCCTATTCAACAGTTTCTTCAACAGATTCTTGAAGGTGTCATATTGTGGCATCAGTGGTGGAATGTAAGTGCAGTACTTGAGTTTACAAGTACATTTACTCGAGTACTGTACTAAAAATTACAAATTTAAGGAACTTTAAGGGAGTATTGAGTATTTTTTACTGCACTACTATCTGACAGTTTTAGTTTCTAGTTACTTTGCACATTAAGATTTTACATACAAAACCAAGCTCAGTTTATAAAATATGATGCATTGTATAGATATAACTACCGAATTCAATTCTTTTTTTTATACATATAGAGCCAATTCATAAAAGAAATGATCTTATTGCACTTTTCACATAGAACTAGACCATACTCGTTGTAATATTATTTAAAGAGACCCAACAATTCCCATCACAAGCAAGCACCAGTATATTAAGTAGTTGGCTCCACCAACTAAAACAAAACAATGCTACCAATGCATTAATGAATCACTAACAGTAATCAAATGATAATATGCACTATTATTATATTACTTACAAGGGCTATTTTTGCATTTTGGACACTTTTACTACTGCTTATAATAGAATATTTCAATGTAGAACTTGTAATGGGGTATTATTAGAACCCAGTATTGCCAATTCTACTCAAGTGAAGAATTTGAAAACTTTCACAACCACTGAGCCGTATTAACAAAATAATGTATGATGGTATCTTGAAAAAACTAATCTAGTTCATCTATCAATTCTTTCTTTCTCTCTGCTTACCCCTTTTTCTCTACTTCAATTTGCTTCCGTCTGTCATGTCCAAACATATGCAGCATTTGTAAAAAGAACTTTCTTTAAATAAAAATATACCAAGTTTGGGCAATAGGATGAACATTAGCCATCTGCGATAGGCTGGATTTATGACTCGCATACTTTTTTTCTGGTCACTTTCAATTACCATAATGAGTGCCTTTATATTTCTGCCTCATCAGCATTCAAAGCATCAGATGTGATTTAATAATTAACCTCTAAAAGCACAGTTTGTGCACCATCAGTGTAATGGTACTGGCAATATGGGTTTTCATTCACTGACTCATAGTAGAACAACGTCAACCATTTCACCTACAGTGTGCCTTTAAAAAGATGCATCATGGGGGTACAGTAAAATACTTTCCATAATACTTTTGCAGAGCACAACATGGGAAATGTAGCTAATGTGGCAGTGAGCGCCCCAAGACACCCAAATCCATTGTGTATCACTGGTTAAAGGGGTGTCGGTCACCAATCAGAAATGGTTGCCTACTTGCCCAATGCCAGAGGTTTCAGATAAGCTACATGATTCCCTGAGACAAAATGCTACAAGCTGCAAGCACAACAAAGTTAGGTGAAAAAAACAACAAGTTGTAGGGATAGAACATACTAGAAAAAGATGCTACTGCACAAACGTCTAAGCCCATCTGGGTAAGATTCCGCTACAGTGTTGGTGTATGATTCCCACTCTCTGCCACTCAGTGCCCCTCATTTGGACCATGGAATGGAAATTCTGTACGGATGTGGGTGAGCAATGTAGCAGGTTGTCTTTGGGAGATGATGGGGGAGGACAGGTGGTTGTGGGTAAGTGGGTTAACTTTACCTTTGTTGACTTGGATGCCCATGGTTCTGCTGACTGTCTGGCTACATTCAAACTGGGACATGACAACAAGCATGCAACACAAGGCCCAGTAAGCCAACAAAGGACATAAAACAAGAAACAAAACAAAACAAACAAACAAACAAAAACATAACAAAAATCAATAAAATGTGGCAGTAAGGCAAAGAAACGACATACCAAGTGTGAGGCTCAGATGAAACAAAATTAAATCACATTTATACATGAAGAAAATGAAAGTAACATCAAGAGTGGACTGAGTGGATACCAGAACATGACTGTAGTGTTACAGCTGTCAGTGAGCTTTAGGTCATTGAACCAGAACTGGACTATTTCAAGGTGTCCACATGTGTTTATTCCATTATATAATCCAGATAATGATAAAATCCACGTGCCCTATTCAGCACTGACATTAATTTATTAGGGGGCACAAAAATAGACTAACTGGGCATAGCAGTCTTTAGCACCATTTACCCCTTAGCTGGGAAGAAATCTGTGTCACAAGTAATAAGGCCCTTCAAAGGAGCCAAATCTGGAAAATGTAGGGCAAATAAATTCCATTAGTGCAACACATTGCAAACAAATGAGCAATCAACCACACAGGCTCGGTTCCCTGCTGTCAGAGCCTGTGCTATGCAGCGCAATGTAATCTAAGGCCAGTGCTCCTACAGTGGAAGCAGTTCCAGCCAGTGATTCGGCTCCTTTCACCTACCTTTAATTGGCCCAAGGACACTAAATGAGCTAAATTAGTATTGTGCCTCTTGGTGCACGAAGCCAGTGTTGGGCTTGTTCCGCCTGGGCTAACTGTCCCCTCATTAGGAGCCACTGATAGAGCCAGTGTGCTAAAGCTGCACTCTGCCAAGCCCTCAGTTTTCATGGGCAATTTGCGTGGAAGGATGAAAAACAGATGATGAGTTTATACTCGGCACGGAGAAGGGGGCAAGGAAATAATTAAAAACAAGCTAATGAGAGGAATTAATTATTCAATTAATTCCTCAAACGTGCCACCGAGGGCTGAGTTTAGAGGGAGAAATGGGAAAATGAGGGAGACAGCAAGAGAGAAAATGTCAAGCCGTGAGGTTGAATTGAGGGGAGAATGAGATATGAAGAGGAAGAAGAGGGGAGGACTTGCTTTATTGCTGGAATGTGAAATTGAAGCCCCTTAGCTTAAAACCAGCAAATTGACTATCAAGACCTACGGGGTTTGCAAGTGCAGGCAAATTGCCCGCACTGAATCAACAAAAATGGGGTCTTTGTCATTTAAAATTATACGTCTTCATTTTACATTTGACATCCTCAAAGCATACACGTTACCTTGGCAAAATTCCCCTAAAGTGGCCTAAAACATTGCTGGAATATCAATAACAGCCACTAATGTTAACTGTGCATGCATGCCGACAGCACCCCAGGTTCCACCTCTCTTTTATGGGGCAGGATAATGGAAGAACCCTCCTGAACTAAAATATATTTCCATATGTAGCCTAAACATCCAGAATTTCATAATATAATTCAAACACACGTGTACAGCCATTTAGATTGAATTGCAAATACCTCTTTCATAATTGAAAACCCTGTTTGCTGTCCCTGCTCTGATCTAGCATGAGTGAAATTAAAACAAAGTAGAGTGCTTGTTTCCTTTGTCTTTTTCTCCATCCCACTGCGTTCAGCACAACTCCTCACTGTCTATCTGGAGAGGGAAGCCAAGCACGCTTCATTTAATCAAGAACACAGCAGACGACGGGACGGAAATATATCCCATTTGAGAGCTAAAAAATGCATCAGCCAGGCCATTACGCAGTGCGAACTCTCTCTCTTTCTCTCTCTCACACACACATACACCGTACTTCCCACACAGAGGCACGACACTGCATCACTGCGCACTACATGCAAATTTGTGTTATGACCTTCTGAACCCTGTGGAGAGGATAGGCTAACTCTCCACAGTGACGGGAGCCAAGACGCTATTCTAAATCTAAACATTAGCGCAGATGATGATGCTAATACATACTGTGTTACATACACGCTGCATCCACTCTGTCTT